TCTATTGGTAACTCGTTAACTCAATATAATATTTGTCGGCAATACTTATTGATGCATGCAAGAACTAAAAGTTTTTAACCGTCCTTAATTCCTGTGTAATTTTTTGCCGATGAGCTTTTTACATTCATTGGTAGTTTTTTTTTCTCTTCATTAGTGAATTGCAAAATTCTAGCAATAGTGGTTAAATTTAATTAACCACCACCATTTGTTAGAATTTTAATTCTTGGAAATTTAATTCTCTTTCTTGTTGGCTATGTGATTCTAGCCTCTTAATATGATTGATAATTAGGACGACACGATACGACATGAATATAAATACATTCAAGAACACGACACAAATTTGAAATTGGGTTAAAACCTTTAATACGAACACAACATAGTTATTTTGCGGGTCAACACGATTCGACACCATATTAATAACCCATAAATTTATAGTGTATCACTTATTATACTGGTTGACATAACACGAATAACTTATCAATATCAAATTGAGTTACTTAATCTCGCATAATGACTAGTTGGGATTTTTTTCTTTAATGCTAGTTATGAACTCTTTTACACCCGTTTAATTTGATCTATACAGACTATACTTGATACATTTTTTTTCTCTAATCAGTAATTTTTTTTCTTCATATTTTAAATTTATAGATGGCCGTTGATGGGGGAAATGGGTTGAGATTTTTTTTTTTTTTTTTGATAACATGAGATTTTTAACCTATTGAACACGACGTTATCTTTTTTTTTTTTATTGAATTGGAGATAAAGCAAGGCGGGAAGAATCACCCGCTTTGCCATATATAACCATGTACAAAAACACCTATACTAAAGGCAACTTCAATCTTTCAAGTAGATTTACCTTCATTATCCATTGCCTTAAGCTGCAAGATTTCACAAAGTCAAAAAAAAAAAAAAAAAATCACATAACTTAAATATTTTTTTCTGACATAACCTTAAATATTTATACATGACATTGAAATATTCAATCCGCAACCCTTGTGTTGCAGCCTCTGTATTTCATATGTTCCAATTCCAAAACACGCTAAAAACAAAAACAAAGGAGAGGTAGCTATATACGCTAGTCTAATGAAGAAGAAGCAAGATAAGGGAAAAAACGTGAAAGTTGAGAAATAAAATTAATACTTACTAAAATAGAAACAAAATAATGTATCAGCATTGGGGAAGAACCTGTAAAAGATTGGAGGCACAAGAAGATTGAAAGCACAAGAAGATTGAGGTGTGTTAGCTCCAGCATATCAAAAAGAAAATAAGAGGGGCTGAATTGTTAACCCTAGATTGTGAAGAGAATTGGGAGGAAAAAACACAATGTGTTTAAAAGAAAAAAGGCATATTAACACCACTAGTTAAATTTGGATGGAAAACAAGTAGAGAGGGGATTGATTTTGAATCAAAACACAATGGGATAGACGATAAAAAAAATACTTTAGTAAATGATTTAGAAGCAAATTCAATAGGGGTTTGTGAAGTTTTTCCTAAAATTTAATAAATTATAAGTATAATTACTTCAAATTAATTAAAAAAAGTATACACCTTGTTATTTTTTTTTTGAAAAAAATCTTATTCTATGTCACGTAAAAATAAATAAGTAAAAGAAAGGGATTCCTTTTTATACTTTTTCAGGAAAAAAAACATGGTACTAATTTTCTAAAATTATTACAAAATAAACTGAATAAAAAAATTATATGAATTAAGAAATAAAATTTTATAATATATTACATATATTTTTAAAAATTAATTTTTTAAACAGATCACCACCAACAAAAAATAAAAAATAAAAATGTTAGTGGGGTAAATAATATAAAGGAGTTATTAATCTTATGTCACATAATATAAGTACCTTATATGTGTGAAACAAAGTTACGGGATCCATAATTTTTAAAAATTGGGTCAGGAGTTCAAACCATGTCTCAAGCAAATTCTTGAAAAATCTTTGGGGTAGAGGACGTGCCTCAGTCCTCGAAGGGGGATTAGTCTCATCCTTCCTCCGGTAGCGAACCTCAATGCACCCGCTATTCTAATGAGGAGCTAGCCTTCAGACCGTACTCTGAGAACAATGTGACCAGAGGAGGTTGAACGAGGATACCTCCATGTTATACCAAAAAAAAAATTAGTTATATTATATGACGTAAGCATTAATGCAGGTGAAGCAACTTTCTAGCTATTCCTAATCCCTATAAATAAGGGAGAAATGGTTCAATACATAGGCTTGAAGTGGCTACGCCAAAGCAGCTACAAACTTCAAAGCTCTCTTCTTCTCTCTTTTTTCTTTTTTCGTTTTTAACAGATTCAAATACAGTATCCACACCTAACTAACAACACACCATGGTCTTTCGTGAGGACAAATCCACCCTCAAATTCCTCTGCAGTTACGGCGGCAAAATCCTCCCCCGCCACCCCGACGGCAAGCTCCGCTACCTCGGCGGCCACACCCGTGTCCTCGCCCTCCCTCGCTCCACTCCCTTTTCCGGTTACATCATTGCTTTTTTTTTTTTTTTTCAGTTACATTTTCACCACTCCAACTACTGTGCCGTTATTTTAACCGTATTCTGTTTATGTTTGTTTCAGAGGTACTGGTGAAGTTGGAAGAGCTATGCGGCTCACACGTGACCCACTTTCGTTGCCAATTACCCTCCGAAGACCTCGACGCTTTGGTGTCCATCACCTCCGACGAGGATCTCGCAAACCTCATCGAGGAATACGACAATGTTTCGTCTTTAAAGATCAGAGCGTTCCTCTTCTCTTCACCTGCTCGGTCAAAATCTTTGTCGTCGTCATCATCTTCTTCCTCTTCATCGTCGTCTTCCTCCTCCACGTTGTCGTTTAGTTACCCTACTTGTACGGCGGTACCGCCGGCGGTGATTAGTCAGGTGTCACCGACGACAGCTACGAAGAAGTGTGCTGGGACCGGGACAAATGTTCCTCTTCCCTGTTGTGGTTACCGTGTTAAGGGGAAACGTGGTGTCGTTTACCTCATCCGCAACGGCAACCATTGGCACTAGCGCTGTTGTCGTTTATTTTGCTGGATGATTCAACAACTAAGAACCCGTTTTTATTTAAGAAAAAAATAAACGGCAAAAAGGTTTATAAGATAAGGTTTATGTTTTCTCATGTTACAAGGTAACCTTGATCGTGAAATATCTATTGCTTGTTGAACACTCTGAATTATGTGAAAGTAGGATACTCCAAATTTAGGAGTTCAAGAGTTTTATAAAACTCTCTTGATGAAAAAAAAAAAATAGTGAACGAAAGATCTTGCTAAATTGAGTTGGGTCCATGAATCTAGTGAAGAGTGAGAATTTTTTATCTTTCTCAATTCAAAAATTCAGGATTTGAATTTATGTCCTCTCATCGAATCCTCGTAAATTGTATTGATTTATTCGAAAGATTTCACTTCAATTGGAATTTGGTTATTCATCGTGTACCCCCGCTAAGCATCCATGGCTGAATGGTTAAAGCGCCCAACTCATAATTGGAGAATTCGTAGGTTCAATTCCTACTAGATGGACGCCAATGGGACCCCTCCAATAATAAGTCTATCATATCTTTATTCAAGAATGAAATCTTATTGGAATCATTTAATTTATCCTTCAAAACCATATCACATCCTGGATTTGATGAAATAGGATAAAATTTATCTTTTACTCATACATAAATAAATTTATCTCCTATCTATATATAAAAATATATGTGATTTATATGTTTTTCTTTCTTTTTTTTATGTTTATATGGGATTTTTACATTTTTAAATATGTGTAGAAGATAAAACTTATGTATATAAATATTAACCCCATATCATAATATGTATATATGTGGTGTGAATCTTTGCGAAGGATTGGGGTTTTAGATTGTGATTCTTGCTTTGACCATTAATGAATTTCAGTCCAAATTTGTGAGGGTGAGTCCGTTCGTCCTTTTCATTTTATTTTTTTTGTGATTTTTTTTTCGTATCCCTTTGTTCATTAGTTTTTATTTTTGGCTCTGGAAATTTATCCATTTGCTTTTGTTATCAGTTGTCACTGTATGGGTGGTCCTGTTACGTCTTTTTCATAAATGCTTTTTTTCTCTGTTTTTTTTTTTTTGGCCGTGATGACCTTAACTTCTTCCTTGAGTTATCCTTGTCATCATTATCATTACAATTTTTTCAACTCAAAACTCTTTGACACTTTGCCCTTTGTTTTTTGTTTCTCAGCATTTGATGGATTAATAGTTTGACATTTCTGGTCGCAGGTTTAGTGAGAAGGCTGAAACAGATCAATGAGAAAGACACAATGGTTGGAAATCGACAATCACACAAATCGCAGACCAAAAGAGAAAGAGAGAGATTAGACACAAAGATTTATACTGGTTCATCAAATTTAGGTCTGTACTATATTCACCTCACCGCCACTTGTTACAAATCAATGAGTTTACAAGAAAAATATAAATAGAATTAGAAAATCCTAACAACAGTTATTTATGGACCCAACAAGGACCCTCATTTGGGACCCTCAGAGCGGAACTCCAGTTGCTTTCTACTGACCCCGACAACAAGACCCTTATCGCGATACGAAGTATGAGCAGTACTCAGGAAGAAGTGACTTAGAATGTTGTGGCATGACTATCATTTAATAGCATTGTAGCTTTCATTACTCTTTGCTCTTGCGTACCAATGTATCTTTTCTATAAAAGTGGTGATTGCCTGCATCTTTATCCACTGAAGATGAAAAATTCAAGTTCTATTACTTAAAACTAATAAAATTTATTTTGCAGTTCTCGGAGAAAAGAAAATAGCAGTCATCTTAATACCCATTTATGATATTTTAGAATCAGTGTCTTCTGTACTCTGCCTGAATTTGTGTCCCTGTTTCTTTCTTAATGGAGTTCAGTTCTGGATTTGGGCTAGATTCAATTGAAGTGCTGCTTAGAACCGTGAACAAGTGGACACGTTTGGATTCTTTTGAAAGCCAAATAGGGATGCGGAAGCAACTTGGAAATTCATGGCATGAGGGACCTGAATCTATAATCTATCAAACGCAAGAGATACGTGAACTTATCAATGAAAACGATCTCAGGACAGCGACAAATGAAAGTCTTGAGAAAATATTTAAGATCACCATTGATCGAAAAAAAAGGAGAACAAAAATAAGTATTTTTTTTTTCAAAGCAACACACTGATAAAATAAAAAGGACTTTCAAAAATAGGTTCATCCTCTCTCCAAAACGCATCAAAATATATGGTCCGGTGAAATGCATAAAAAAAAAATGTTTATAAAGATAGATATAAATACAAAAAAATCACATGACATGTGAAATTTAAAAATAAAAAATAATTGAATAACATGAAAGTATCCATTCACTTGCCAGGAGATTTTTTTTTTTTGGTGCTAGAAAAGTTGAGATGAGTTTTCTAATTGATCATGTTTGATAGAAAATTTTAAAAATTTGCCCATCATTCGAATTTGCCTAGCAATCTCGGTTTGTGTGTAAAATTGAAAATTTTTGACATTTCAAAATACTTCCTATAGGATGGTATTCTTATTACCCCATCAAATCAAAAAATAGAAAAAAAAATTATGATACAAATATCTCTTCTCAAAAAATGTGTCAAAAGAAAACTAGAGAGAGAATCTTTTTTGTACTTAGTCTAGGGTAGTTTGCTAATTTCATCATATTTTTTCATTAATATTCTACTTTCAACCAAACAGACTCAAAAATTATAATCCAATTTTTTTGATAATTTTTAGCTTATCAAACAATTTTTTTTAAATTTTTTTAGCAATTTATTTTTCCATTATATTTTTAATAATTATATTTTTCTAGTAAAATAAAATTTCACCTCCGTCAAAAACAGGGGAAAGGAGGTCCTCTACTATTTGCGTTAAAAGGCAACATTCCCTTCGGAAGAGATATAAAGAGATCTTCACACGCTCAACTGTAATTAAATAATTAATTAATTGAAATGATGCCAAACGAAGGGTGACCCTGAAGCACCTTAATAATTTCGGACCCTGAGATCACATCTTTCTTATCTTGTTTAAGGTTATTCTACTCACCATGTGGAATCTAATATTATTATCGGTTATATTTGAATGATATATATATATATATATATATATATATATATATATATATATATATATATAGGTAGGATCTTTTGATACCGGTGTCAAATTTGAAATTTGACACTTCATTTGAGAGCCATTGGATCAAAAAAGATCAACGACTCTGATTTATAAGCATGTGACACCGTTGATCTTTTTTGATCTAATGGCTCTCAGATGAGGTGTTTTGACACCGGTGTCAAACGATCCTACCTCATATATATATATATATATATATATATATATATATATATATATAGGGGCAGGATCTTTTGACACTGGTGTCAAATTTAAAATTTGACACCTTATCTGAGAGCCGTTATATTAAGAAAGATCAACTTACACTAATGTAACAGTAATAACTCTTACACTCAATCTTAACAGTTGATTTCCATCCATCAAACGACTGTAATTAATTACATTATTCTCATTAATTACAGATCAATATATATATATATATATATATATATATATATATATATAGGAAAAAATATTTCTCAAGCTGCTTGAGATAAGTTTATCTCCGGCCACCCAAAAACTACGTCGCTTTGATTATTTATTTCCTTATATTTATTGATTCACCTTTGAATGATTATGATTCCATTTTTCTCTCTCTTCCTTTATCCTCATTGATCCATCTTTGTACGGTTATGATTTAGTAGCCGGAGATAAAGTTATCTCTGGTAGCTTGAGAAATGTTAAGCCCATATATATATATATATATATATAGAAAAAACATTTCTCAAGCGGCTTGAGATAAGTTTATCTCCGTCCACCCCAAAACTACGTCGTTTTGTTTATTTATTTCCTTATATTAATTGATTCACCTTTGAATGGTTATGATTCCCTTTTTCTCTCTCTTCCTTTATCACCATTGATCCATTTTTGTATGGTTATGATTTAGTAGCCGGAGATAACATTGTCTCAAACAGCTTGAGAAATGATAAGCCTGTATATATAGGCAGGATCTTCTTACACTGGTGTAAGAGTAATAACTCTTACACTCAATCTTAACCGTTGATTTTCGTATATCTAACGGTTATAATTAATTATTAATTAATGAGAATAATGTAATTAATTACAGTCGTTTGATGAATGAAAATCAACAATTAAGATTGAGTGTAAGAGTTATTATTCTTATACTGGTGTAAGTTGATCCTATCTTTTATATATATATAATTATTCTTATACCGGTGTAAGTTGATCCTATCTTTTATATATATATATATATATATATATATATATATATATATATATATAAGATAAACTTACACTAGTGTAACAGTAATAACTCTTACACTCAATCTTAACAGATAATTTCCGTCCATTACACGACTGTAATTAATTACATTATTTTCATTAATTAATTATTAATTATAACCATATCTATATATATATGTATATATATATACATATATATATATATATAGGTAGAATCCTTTGACACCAGTGTCAAATTCGAAATTTGACACCTTATTTAAGAGCCGTTAGATAAAAAAGGATCAACGACTCTGATTTGTAAACATGTGACACCATTGATCTTTTTTTATCTAACGGCTCTCAGATCCAGTGTCAAACTTCAAATTTGACACAAGTGTCAAAGAATCTTACATTTATATATATATATATATATATATATATATATATATATGGGATTTGATTTTCTCATGTTGCATGAGAATTCAATCTCATGTTGTGACTTAACTAGTGGTGGGTCCCATATTTATTAAAAAAAGAAAAAGAAAAAGAAAAGCTTTGCACGCAAATCGAAGGGTCACTAACATGAGAGTTGAATTCTCATGCAAAGAGAAAGTTTTCCCTATATATATATATATATATATATATATATATATATTGAAAAAATGTTTGTCCTTTTTTTTTTTTTGATAACAAATGTTTGTCCTTTTAAAAGACACAACTTATGTCATTTCACTCTCACAAAGAGGTGTGACCCACACCTTTATTTTTTTTGGTCCACTCTCTCTCCCATTTATTTATCTCTTTCTCTCACTTAAAATGAGACAATTTTACATCCTTTAAAATGACACACACTTTTTTGTATATATATATATATATCTGTGTGTGTGTGAAAAAGTATTTCTACAATCACTTTTGATAACATTATCCAAAGCTACTCTTTTTAACTAACTCTGACCAATAAGACATAGTTATGACAATGAAGTTGTTCCTTTTTTTCTCTCCTTAGACATTATCGACTGACGTGGCACAGAGAGAAAATGCAATTTTTATGTCTTATTGATCATACTTAGTTAAAAAGGGGTAGCTGTAGACAACTTTATCTAAAGTGGCTGTAGAAATGTTTAACCTATATAGGATTTATCGTTTCTCAAGCTGCTTGAGATAACTTTATCTCCAGCTATTAAATCATAATCATACAAAGATGGATTAATGATAATGAAGAAAGAGAGAGAAAATGAGAATCATAACTATTCAAAGATGAATCAATTAATATAAAGAAATAAATAAACAAAACGACGTAGTTTTGGGCTGACCGGAGATAAATATATCTCAAGTAACTTCAGAAATATTTTTCTTATATATATATATATATATATATATATATATATATATATATATATATATATTTGGGTATAGGATTTCTCAAGTCGATGGAGATAAGTTACCCCTGGTGAGCTCAAAACGACGTAGTTTTGGGGCGGAAATCAAGGTATTTTTGTAATTCTAATATATTGGAGGGATATATTAGTCTTTATCATTATAATTTTTTAATCTTATAACCCAAAACGACGTCGTTTTGAGCTCACTGGAGATGAAGTTATCTCCAGTGATTAGAGAAATACTTTTCCCTATATATATATATATATATATGGGCTTATTGTTTCTCAAGTTGCTTGAGATAACTATATCTCTGGATACTAAATCATAATTGTACAAAGATGGATAGTGATAAAGGAAAAGAGAAAAAAAAAAGGAATCATAACCATTCAAACATGAATCAATTAATATAAGAAAATAAATAAACAAAATGACGTAATTTTGGGGTGGATAGAGATAAATATATCTCAAGCTGCTTGAGATATATTACCCCTTTTAACTATGTAATGCGGGTACTACATAATTATAACGTCAAATTTTGCTTCTTTTTTTCTCTTTCCTCAATCACATTTCAAAATTTATCTGCTGACATAGAGAGAAAAATAAGTAACTTTAACATTATAAATATATATTACCCATAGTACATAGTTAAAAGGGGTAGCTTGACTGCTTGAGATAAGCTTATCTCAAGTGGTTGGAGAAATATATATACATATATACATATATATATATATATATATATATATATATATATATATATCTATATATATATATATATATATATCTATATATATATACATATATAGGTCCCCAACTTCTCCTTTCAACGGAGAAGAGATTTTACAAAAAAACAGCTATGTCTTACGCGTAAGACATAGTTGGAATATTAAATTTATTTTTTCTCTTTCTGCCATGTCAGTCGACAGCCATCTAAGGAGAAAAAAATAGCTTTTAAAATTACAATTACGTCTTACCAGTAAGACATAGTTGTTTTTAGTTGCCGCAAAAAATCTCTTCTCAAGGAGAAGTATATATATATATATATATATATAT